CAAGCATATAATTTATTATCAACCTATCAGACACGTTCACGCAGTAAAACATGCACTATTGTTGTCTATGGTTCAGACCATGAGCTTTGTACAATAAATCTCTTGATGCATGCTCAATCATCCAGGTAAGGAAATCCCAAAAAGTGGATTCTGTGTTCGACAAAATATGTCTCAGCTGTTCCAATACTGACATATAAGGAGTATCCCTTAGTGATCCTGTATGTGCCAGGAGTATCAGAACAGTTGAGACGCATTTTTTCTAAACACTGCTTCTCTGTAGCTTTCAAACTCCAAAACATGCTGCGCCAAAAGCTAGTCTACGCAAAGGATCGGGTCCACAAACAGAGTAACATAGTGTACGCTGTTAAGTACCACGAGGATTGTCATGATTTATACATCGGGGAAACCAAACAACCTCTAGCGAAGCTGATGGCACAACACAGAAGAGCTAACTCGTCAGGCCAGGACTCTGCAGTCTGTTTACACCTACAGGTCAGTGGACACTCTTTCAAGGATGAGGATGTACACATCCTGGACAGCGCGGAGTCAAGGAGGCCATTTACGTGAAAAGGGAAAGACCATCTCTGAATCGAAGAGGGGGCCTAAGGGTCCATCTTTCGCCATCATACAATGCTGTGATTGCAGCCATTCCCCAACTCTCTGTGAATGGTACTTATAGCCATTGATTAATGGTCATTGATCAATGATCAATAGTATTTGATCAATTGGCTTTGATCAGTGGTTGATGATCAATGGTCATGAGAATTTGCATATTAATCAGAAAACTAACCTCACAGCTCATTGTTCGTCAGTGGTGCTGGTTTCAGTCATTGTGCAAAAGTACTGTTTGTAAGGTTGTGTAAACCTGCAGTCAGCTGAGACCGAAGAAGTTACTTGGATGAGTAATGAAACGTTTCTCGTACTGAAAACGCTACGTCCACGTGAACAGAATCAACTTTTGGGATTTGTACAGAAAGTTTCTATTCAGACGAGCTGTTTGGGTTCCAAGTGTCTCTTTAACTCACCTGGTACCAAGTTAATAGCAGTTAATAGTTAAGTAGTTAAATAAATAAAACTCAGGTTCAAAACCTCTGGAATCCTGGTCCAGCTGAAGCCATGAGACAGACAACTTTTGCTCTTGTTTCCCCAAAAAGGTTTATTTCTTTTCTCTCCACACAGGAAAGTGATCAGTTTGACCTCCTCATAAATGCCATCATCCTCACTATCAGTCAGGACCTTAGATGTGTGCTGATAAAGTGCATTAATTATTTTTCCCCCAGTTTGTTTGACTGTATTTGAACCCAGAATATAAAACTCATCATTTCTATGTAATGTTTTTAAAATGGACAGAGAGCCCCACCTTGTGGTCTGCCGAAGAAACTACTGGAGCCTTTGTAATGTAGCATTTTTCACCACTTCTACAGCACACGTTGCACTAGAGTCTAGGCCAACTGAACTTATGTGAGGTGATCTCAGGGATGCCTTATGTATGGCACTAGAGGTCACCTTTTGAGTTTCTCTGTATGTTATGTTTATGGTAAGTTATTTAAGGTGGACACACACAATTAGCTGCAGGTGTGTTATTGATCGTAAGGAGGCAAACAGTTTGCTGCGCTGCTATGTTAAATCATGGAAATAAAGAATCTAAAGGACAAGATGAGTAAGGCTGGAGTTATTGGACGGTATCAAGTCTAATAAGTTAATTCATACCAGTGACATTGCATCACTCCCACCAACGAACACCTCAGTGGCTTCAAGCCTAGCCTTAGCCTCTACAAAAATAAATGAATACCTCACAAAGGGAACTAGGAAGTGCGAAAGGTAAATGGGAAAAACCCATAGACACATGAATAAACGTAATACAACAAGACTTGATACAAGAGGAAGGAAGACTGAGGGAGGAATTACACTCTAAAGCAAACAAATATAAAAAAAATTAAACAGAAACCAGAACAAAATATTCAAATAAAGAAAAAAAAAAGAAAAATCCCAAACTCAGAAATGCTTGTTAAAACTGACACAGTAGTACAAAGACCATGTCTCCAATTTTTTTGAGATGAGTTGTTATGGCCACTTATGGCCTGCTTATTTATTTATATATTCAATCATTTGCATTACTGTATTGACACCAATAAACTATACCTACATGACCTGGTAGAGCTAAACCTTGCTGAGCTAAGTATTTGATGGAGGCTACAATCTTTGATAATCCATACCTTGGTTCCTCCTGTTGTCTGGCAGCAGCTGAAGAAAGCTGTGAAGCTACAGTGTTCCCTTTTTGAGCAAAGATGTTCATGGCATGGAAATGTACCTGACTTTCTGCATGTCCTGAGAACTTGAAGAGAGCACAGTGAAAACACAGCACCCCTAAAGTGGCACTGTAATGCAACCAAGGAAAAGTTGTGAACCACTTTTGTTTAAAAGACAACACACTTTTAGCTCGCTTCTGCACTACTATAAACTTAGGATCAGGATGTGCAGGCTTTGTGCAGACGATGATGTCTGAAACATCAAATCCTTCTCTGTCTCTGTCATCTGTATTTGACTGGTTCCTGACATGGGGCTCAAGTCCCCGTGGTAAACACGACAAGAAAACTTGTCACTCTCTCAAATAACTATATCTTAAATGATTGTATTGCACACATTAACAACATTATTGACATTGTTAAATTAAAAAGAAATCTATTAATATATCCTTGCATTCTCACATGTCCATTTGCCCTCACCGTATGGCCCTCTGTGAGGAAACCACACGAACCAAATACAGATCAGTTCAGTGTTCTGACAGTGTGTGCTTGCGTGCACAATTATTTTGCCGTTTTTTATGTCTGTTACCTGGTCATCCATGCCTCCTGTGCAGCCTTTCTCCGTGCTCTCCCTTTCTTTGGTCATCTGACCCACTGTCACCTCCTCCTTTCTCTTGACCAAGTACTACACCTCCTCTGTCGCCTGCTCTCTCTCTCCCCATCTCTGCTTCCTTGTGTCCCTCTTTCATCGCCTGCCCTGCAAACCTCTTGAACCTGATGTATAAAAGCTCAGCTAAAAACTGTTTTCCCATTAAAGTGTGTGTGTGCATGAAAATACTTTGTTAATCACTTTGTTTGACTTCATAAATTAAGCCAAGAATAAACATCTATAGTGGGGTTTATAAATCGCACACTAGGGAGGAGTAAGGCTTTATAGAATATGGCTTGTGGATTTAATAATACCTTCCTAATTCTTAATATTGTGTGATGACTATAAAGTGTTATAATCTTAAAACATTCAAATGGAAGCAGTTTGAAAGCTTCCAGAGCAGTCTATGCCAGAAATGTGTTGGCAGCAGTTTTCAGTTTTGCACTTTACTCGTCTTTAAAAAAAAACCCACGTGAGTGATCATACAAAAGTATTAGTAACAATTAGTAACCATTGTATGCATTCAATAAGAAAGAAAGTTCACGAGACCTGGAAAGCATTGGTAACGAGAGCACTTGGGACGTGCAACTACCCCCAAATGGCAAAGGGCTGTAGTCATGGCTTGTGTTGTACAGCTCTCTCCGAGCACGATCAATACGGTTTCTTGAAATGTTTTTTCCAACGTCAACTTTGACCTTGGGTGGTAACAGTGAAGATCAAGGTCAAGAGCTAGGCGGTGACTACCTAGTTTGGCTGCGTACCTAGTTTTGGCTAAGCATTTGGAAGTTTCAACTAGAGCAATAAAGTTTTTAATGCTTTTCACATTCAGTGTGACGTTCACTTTGACCTTAATCCGATTTAAATCAGCTCGAGATGTTATTGGTATTTACCGTCACACAAAATTTGAAAATGATTAAATGATCAATGATTAGCCCTGTCATGCATGCATTATGACAACCTCAATTTGAAGTATTTTTATTCATCTTTAGGCATAAAAAAGGAATAAAAATACTTGTGACTGTGAGGT